ATAAAATATTTCCGGTAAACACGGTATTTTAAAAGGATTTTAAACCAACCTTGCCCGTTTGAAATGATGCTGCGGGAAAATGAAATTTGAAACACACTGAAACGGGGGAAAGCCGGGGAAAGCGCCATTTATTGCGAGCGATAGATGAGAAACATTACTGCATATCTCAGCACAGCCCAGGTCTTTCGCGCCAAGGCCTGCATCTTTGGAGAAAACGGCGTCCCGCGTCCGATAGCCAGCCAGTCAGCCACACCCCGCCTCGGCGCGCCTGGCCCTCAGACTGGCCTCGCAGAGAGATACCACGGGAGGCTAAGTGGGAAAATAGAGAATATCGTCGAGATATCGAGGGGCTCGCGGCGCCGGCGTCGATGAATCCGCTGCCTGGAGTGAGGATGGAGAGAAATGGAGAGAGGAGGAAAAAGTCACAGAAAATCGACAGGGCGTATGCCAAAAGCTGTATTTCTTTTTGCAGTGTAGGCAATAAGTAGTCAGTTGGGAGGAAATGAGATGAGAGGCACGCACAATAACAATCGGGATCGTCGAAAACGATTGGCCTTGATATTGGAGAGGCAATCACAACGAGATAGAGGGAGGGGGGGGGGAGACGCACGTCAGGCTTTTAAATCAGTCACATCGGCCGTGCGGGGAAAAGGGCGGCACGACGCGCAGACCGCCTCGTCGACCGCTGCTAAATACAAGGTGCCGATCACATACGGAAAGACACCCTCGGGGCGCTGTGAAGACAGCGCTCTGCCGCAGCCTTACACTCCCCCCCCCCCTGTCTCTCTCTTTCTCTCTCTCACACACACAGCGACCGCAGCCAGCGTCCTAATAACACATCAACGGCCGCAACACCTGCAGGGTGTGTGGTGCATCAATCAAAGCAAGGCGCGAAGCGGTTTGAAAGTGACGAAACCTCAAAATTCGATCTCTGTCGAAAGGTGTTGGGTGAAACAGGAATCTACGGCTACATAGCCCCCCCCCCCCCACACACACACACACCTCTGCCCTGCCACACACAGACACAACACAAATGAGAAACTGTGGCGATCATCTTTGCTTTATGTCCAGGTTAACACAAGTATAGTGCCATGACTTTGCGATGTATGTATGCGCGTTGCAGCCCGAGGGTCTGTCCGTTTGCTCCGCACACCCCCTCAGCGCCCCGACCCACCGCGCAGCGGCAGCACTCAGCAGGAAGGAAAAACACACCGTTTTGCCGCTAATTTCAGACCATGAGCGAACCAGTTGGTCGAATGACGCCAAAGTATTTGCCTTCCAAATGACGATCGCAGCGGCGCGGGGGTGGGGCGCCCCTGGCACAACAGTGCACTGCAATGAGGAGGCTTGCAGCACACCCACGGGTACGTGAGCGCTAATACCTGCGAGACACCGCACGCAAAATATTATGGAAAGTCTTTTTCTGCGATCCGGTTGCAGCGAAGATTGTAATCGCCAACAACACTTGCTTGCTATCCCTGGTCGCGATGTCAACACAATGTTCCTCCTTACCTTGACATCGGCGCCGAGCCAGCCTCCCGTCGGGTCCTCTGTGGTGGGCGCCATGGTCAGGGACCCCGCCGGGGACCCCGGCCCCGCCCCAGCGTAGCCCCTGCGCTGCCGTCTGCAAGCAAAGACAGTTGGGTCAGGTCACGGTGGATGAGAAACGTCGTTTGGTAGACCACGATCTGTTAAAAAGTCCACGCCATGTATTTATAAGTAATGGTAGTTTTCCTCGAACAGGAAAAATAGCGTAAAATATTTTTCAAAGTTAATAAAATATAACCCAAAATTTGAATTCAATTTGTGACAACCTTTTGAGGGAGCGCGTCGTTCCCGAACACCCATGGCGTCGGTAAATTAGATGACCAGAGCCGTGAAATGCAGTATGAATGGACGCAAATGGCGCGTCCGCTTTGGTATTCACGCCTCTAAAAGCAAGTGCTTGTTCCGGGCCGGCCACTGTGTCGGCCACGGGGCCGTCCGCCCACCGCCTTCTTCCCCTCCAGTCCCGCATAGACACATGGATGGGCACACCACCGCGACAAAGCGAACTGCACTCTCATTCGAACTGCCGGCACTCTCAGGTTCAAGTAGTAGTGGCAAGAAGTTGCTTTCACATTTAAATTTCCTATAGTGTCTCAAAAAAGGCGTCGCCGACAAAAAAACAAGAATCACTTTTGCTCACAACGCGGACTTTCGCAAAAGCATCTCAGTTGAGCGCCCCGTATTCTCTCTCTCTCCCACCGGACCAAAGCGCGTCGCGACGCCGGTCGATACGACGACGCATGCCGTCTGAAAGGTCGGGCGCGACGACGACGATGCCGCGGCGTGCCGCATCTCCACGGAATGCTGTGCGTTGCGAATCGGTTCGACGACTTGACCGCCGCGCCCAAACGCGCCGATGCGATATCGCATCAGGGGAGGGCGAGCGCGCGACACGCCATGCGGCGCGCAGTGTCATGAGCAACGCGGGAGAAATTTTCATCCTGAGCAAAAGGTCGCACAGAGGGGAGGGCGCACGAGTCGGGGCGCCACGCCGCGAGAGAGAAACAACAACTGTGTCCAATAACTCTTCCCGTTTCGTCACGTCAGCTCGCCTCGAGTCGCACACAATTATTATTATTACTATTACCATTTCTCAAACCGAAAAAAAAAATATATTCGAAGACGTATACGGCAAGCGCCATTATATGTGAAGACGATAGACTTTTCGCTCGATAGCGAGCGGCCCGACTCCCACGCGCGTGCAAAAAAAAAAAAAAAAAAAAAAAAAGATCCGGACGGCGCGCTGACGCGAGAGGAAATCGAAATGGCAAAAGCACACGGTGCCAAATTTAAAATGTATTTTACTTTCTCTTCGTTTGCACATGCGGTTGTCGCGTGGGGGCGGCCAGTCGCACTAGCGCAAAGTGAGACTGGAGATTATTAAGGAGATCGCATCAACTTACGCATTTCCGCGCGTTGCGTTCGCGATCGCGTTGATATAGTGCTGTTTTTTTTTGTTTTTTTCAAGTTTCGCGTTTGGAACGCCTGTCAGTGACGAGATAGGCAACTTGAAGGCATGCACGCAACACCACCTCTAAATTGCCTACCTCCCAGGCGTCCCAAAGTGAATTTCACACATTACAAATTGTAAAATCTCGTTAAAGAACCGTTAATAGATCAGAAATGCAATGGGATCCGGATATCGATCGGCACCGCCGTGGCATGTCGACGGCGAAGTCAGCTGTCGCCAGAAAGTCTTATGATAGTTGTCAGACCGCACCGCTCAAGCTATTGAGAGACTTCCAGTCCAATCGCCCTGCGGCCAGCGGGCCAACGGCGGCAGCACAGCACGGGCAGGGACAAGAGCCGCCGCGGCGCATGACAATGGCCGAGATGAGATGGGCGATGGCCATCATCTCCGACACATAACGGCTGGCAAAGCTGGTAGGCCACCACTCTGGGCGCCCCGGGGGAAGTCCAGGGTTAGAAAGCGGTGGCCGCGCTCGGCGGGGCGACACACACCACCGGCGGGCTGCTCGGCTCACAGCGGGGCACATGGCGTTATGGATCGTGTCAGCTCCGAGGGAGAGATGACATCTGCATTGCAGAGGGAACTCTTTAGAATTTCATACGACAGCACGCGAGCAGGGGGAATGTAGAAGTGTGAAAAAAAATAGGCACCACGTGCATTTTACGATGGGCTAGGGTTAAAAAACGAAACGAAGGGCATACATGCATAGCTATAGGAGACTGGTACGATGAGCCAGAAGCAAAAACTATAGACAAAAATAAAACTATACCAAAAGAAGAAGAACAAAGTTTTGAATAACATATAACTATTCACAATATATTAGTTTACGTACAAATTAATTTGCAGTGGATATTCATTAGTTCTGCTTAGAAAGAAAAGACAATCAGCGATTCCGCCGAAACCTCTGGGCTATAATCTGCGAAGAAAGTAGCGGAGCCTAATGAATAGGAAAACTTGTAATTGTCGGCCAAATTCGCGGCACGAATCCACGACGCGGAGTCCCTCCCGCTTCCGAAAGGTGTGCGATGCTATCAGTAAATTTTATTACCCCGTTGGCGATTGGCCGCACAGGTCCCACTAAAACTGTCGATAATTAGCCGGCCGCATAGCCATAGCCACCCACGCACATCCACAGACCATGCTACAGGTAAGGTAGGTTGGAAACGTGATTCCGATCGCAAAGCCCCGCTCGAGGAAATCAGAATTAGCGAGCCGAGAAAAACTTTCTACGCAACATAAGTGTCACAAAGCGATGTGATGCGTGGCGGCCGATCATCATCCCGGCAGTTATAGGCTAGCTGAATCACAATCAGCAGTCATCACGAGGGAAATGACCCCTCTTCCCGACGCGGCTTGAGGTGGTGGCAAAAGGATCGACTTGGCGGCGTCCGCATAATGCCATCCATCAGGGTCAGGGTTGGGGTCGGCCCACATGTGGTCCGGACGGCGGCGGTGAGGAGAGAAGAGCGGTGCACCTGGGCGCGACTCCGTAATGGGTGTGTTTTAGACACGTTTCCGACAAAGTCTATCATAAAGATAACGATATGAGGTCCATTTGCTTTCACTCGCGGGATGACGAATGAAGTCAAGTGTCCACGGCGGCCCCGGCTGACGGAGGGCCTTATGCGTTCGGCTCGACCGACAGCTCATGGGGTTCGCCATAAACCAAAACCATCATCAGGCCTGGTATTGTCAGAAACGTTATGATTGTGAAACAGCCCGTGGGCGTGGCGGCGGCACCGGGCGGGGCGCGGCGGGGCGGGGTGTGCGTCCGGAGGGGCCCAAGTCACTCCCAGCCCTGAGCTAATTTCACGATGTGTGATGGAGAGCACGCGGCTGGGGTCTTAGCAGTCTGTGATCAGTCAAACGTCGTAATGGACCGGGCCGGACGACGAGAGACAGAAATGGCAAATAGGTCCCTTAATAAGAAAATAGGGGCGAGCCTACCGAAACTATTTTTAAGACACTTGTCATAAGCTGATAATGTTCCGGGGAAGGTTGCTAAAGACGACTCTAAAATAGCCTGGACATGGATATATTTTTTAAAAAGTGTCATTTAAAAGAAAAGTGATACTGTACGTTTTCTCCGCTGGAACCATGTAAGGTTTTTTTTTAAAATAATAATAAATGAGAGCATATACTGCGCAGGGGCGAGTTGTCCAGCTTCTCGCATTGTCATCACACCGCCCCGCCCACGGCGAGCGGTCCGCCAACTCAGCCGATAAACACGGCCGTGACAATAACGGGCTCTCGCCCTGCCCCTCTGGGAGGGCGGCGGGCCCGCTCAAAGGGGCGGGCCGGGCGGTGAGATACCTCACCTCGCGGATAGACAAGTAGTGCGTCTGTCCCGCCGGTGCTTTCCAAACGACGGCCCCGACGGCCCGGCCTGATGCGTGTAATTTGTTGGCTTCTGCTTGTTTGTGCGCCGCCGCCCCGCCCCCGGTCTAGCTGGGCTGGGCGGGCCCTGTCACCGCTCGGATCAGTCCCGACGACTTATGCAAATCAATTCATTTTCCCGGAGAGTCGCCGTCAGTCAGCGAGCAGCAGCAGCAGCGAGCGCTCGCTGGCTCTCTTGGGCTCGTCGATATATAAATATACACCACTTTCACTAAAGGGCGGCCCTGGTGGCGGGACGGTGGAGGAGGAGCAGGCGTCGCGCGATTTAGCCTTTCATTAGGCGGGGCAGCGGCTCGATAACGCTGGCTGCGGTTGCGAGGAAAACACGCACTGCTGCGGCCTTCAGGGGTGTATCAATCACGCGGGAAGATGTGTTGAAACCTCGGTTGAAACTCTGGGCCGCATGAAAAAAATAACGTTGAAAGTTTACAGTACAGGGTGGCCACCTCCCGGTACCTATCAGAATTCCCGGCTTATTCCCGGTTTTTTCCCGGCCTAAAACAGAGCTTTTGAAGCGTTGTTTTAAAAATATACCCATTACCCATTACCCAAATACCCATTATTGAGAAAGTATGAATACGATCCAGTTTGAAGGCTTAGAGCGCTTCTTATCACATACCCATAGAAACGTACCTTTGATTGCACGTCAAAAAGCGCTTTCGTTTTTTCACCGGAAGTTAAGACTCTGATGTACAGCTGAACTAAGTCAACTTTAGGCAATTGCCATGAATACACGAAATTTCACCAATACAGCAAAGACAAAATTTCGTTTGGAACGAATAGACACACAAAAAAGGGAAAGAAAACATTCGCGAGCGGAGCGAGCGCGAAATTTTTCGTGATCCTAAGTCTTAAGCCACTGCTAGGCGCTCTAAAACGCTCATAGCGTTTTTACCCTATTTCACACCCTCTGTATTCAGGGACTGACAGAAGAGTTAATGCGAGCGAAGCGAGCGAAATTTTTCATTCAAGGGGTGGAATGAGCACCAAAACGCGTCTAAAAGGGCGTTTTTCATAGCTCGCAATCATCCGCCGGCAATCGGCCATGGCTTCTAACGCCAAAGTACAATATTTTCCCGGTTGCCGACTAAATTCCCGGCTTATTCCCGGTTTTTTCCCGGCGCTAAAAATTCCCGGCTTATTCCCGGATTCCCGGAAATTCCCGGTGAGTGGCCACCCTGACAGTATTGTTTTCATTAGCGCACCCA